CCCAATCCATTCTACGACGCATCTACGATGATGCCTGAAAAGGGAGAAATCAAGGGAGGTGAATTAAATGCAAGGAGAAATGAGCACATTTTTTAAGCGAACATTCGGAGATAGAAGAAAAATGCAGAGGAGACTAGGGAAGAATACTAACTCAAAGGACAAAAAGGTCAGAATGCAAAACAAGGGGTAAGGAAGGAAAGAGAAAGAGATGAAAAGATCTATAAACGCGTAGACAACAACTCACCAGACTTGGTAGTTTTTAGGAGTCTGCATGATGATGTCATCAAGGTACTTGAGTTCCTTCAAAAGATCAACATTGAGTTTCTTCAGCAACTCACGACGAAATTGCCTTAAAACCAATGGATCAATTAGTTCAATATACACTTTAAGAACGACTTTCATTGTACAACTTAACTCATTCTTTACACCATTTTAGTTTAGACAAGATAATGTACTTTACAAATAATTGTGTTCTCATTTCAGGACCAAAAAAAAAACGCTTTTTTCAATCCATTACATCTGCAGCGCTGATGTATTTAGATGTGTTTATTCGAGAAGATGACACCGACTGGCAAATGAAGTGGCTCAATATGGATAAATTGGTAAACTGATAAGCCTGAAGTAAGGGCTGAATTTTGAACGTGTACTTCATAATAGAGACAAGCCCTTACAGGGAATTATGTTATTTGCAAAGGAAAATTTCTGAGATCCAATCCAAAAATCGAGATAGCCGAGCAGACATCTTGTAGCAAGTTACCATCATTCAATACGCATCAGGAGTAGCTCCCATAAAGGGAATCTAAGGAGCAAAAAAAGCACCTACCAAAGCGTGTAATTGGCGGGATTCAATTGGATACAGTCTTCAGTGAGCAGGAAAGCGCGAGTTGACATTTCTCCCGAAGCAAGTATCGCGCGGAAATAAGCGAACGCATCTCTGACTGGAAAAAAATACGTGGCACTAGCTCGGAATTTCACCTCCCAAATTTCAAAATTTTGGATTTCACAAAAACACCTCAGGGGTTATTTGATATACCACGAATATCGTACCCATTCTGCATTATACGGTCATACTGTAGGTTGATGGTAGGTGGACGGCAGATTACCAGATATAGAAATTTAACTGAGTTTCTCAATGGGTTGTCTGATTTTCTTATCAAGAATATCATATTCATTTTGCACGATAGAGTCATACGGGTCGGGTAAGAACGTGAGGGATTAAAATCACAAAATTGCATGAAAAGTTTTAGCTAGGAATTGTCTGGTATTATAATTACAAACATCGCCTTAATTTGCATTCCACACCCAGACAGTGATAGATAACACTTGTAGATATAACACTCGTTCCGCATTATAACATCTTACCGTAAGGCCACAGTAGGACTATGGTTAAAAAAATATTCACTTACTAGGAAGCTTATGCAGCCAGTATGATATAGTACTTAAAAGAATGCAAAGCAATCCCATGAGATCACTTTAGAGAAGCTCGATAATGCTACTAAACAGAGTTCATTACCCGTACTGCATGGAATGCATATGATATCCGTGATCAGCACGACATATCCTCTTAACCTCT